GTAACAAGGTAACAGAGGTAACAAAGTAACAGAGGTAACAAGGTAACAGGTAACAAGGTAGCAGAAGTAACAAGGTAACAGAGGTAACAAGGTAACAGAGGTAACAAGGTAACAGAGGTAACAAGGTAGCAGAAGTAACAAGGTAGCAGAGGTAACAAGGTAACAGAGGTAACAAGGTAACAGAGGTAACAAGGTAACAGAGGTAACAAGGTAACAAGGTAACAGAGGTAACAAGGTAACAGAGGTAACAAGGTAACAGAGGTAACAAGGTAGCAGAGGCAACAAGGTAACAGAGGTAACAAGGTAACAGAGGTACCAAATTAAGGTAGCAGAGGTAACAAGGTAACAGAGGTAACAAGGTATCAAGGTAACAGAGGTAACAAGGTAACAGAGGTAACAAGGTAACAGAGGTAACAAGGTAACAAGGTAACAGAGGTAACAAGGTAACAGAGGTAACAAGGTAACAAGGTAACAAGGTAACAAGGTAACAGAGGTAACAAGGTAGCAGAGGTAACAAGGTAAGAGAGGTAACAAGGTAACAGAGGTAACAAGGTTACTGATGTAATAAAGTAACCGAGGTAACAAGGTAACAATTGGTAACAATGTATTAAACTGAATTAAGAAAGTGAACGAAGGTAACAAGGTAACTGAGGAAACTTGGTAGTAATAAAACAATTTGAGAAAAGAAAATAGCAGTGGTTACTCTACTACACTTTTTACCTACGGTTTACCTCGTAATTTTTATTCAAGTTCAGCCTGAGCTGATGCTCGGGACAATTTGCGCCTAGTTAACATGACCAAATAATGATCAGCACATTTCAAGGGGGCCACGCGGAATTTCTGAAATTTCAAACCTGAATTTTTGTTGAATGGAAAGCCTCCCATAATCGCCACCAAGGTTGACTCGCCGCCAACCTCGTTTACAGATCTAGAGTCCCCACGCACATAATTTTCTATTTAGTCATCTAATAAACATGTTAGGAAACATGCATTCCACTTTATTTCTAATCTCCATTTGCACTGCTCTCTGTCGAGTCCCATCTTTGTTCCACCCCACCGTCTTATTTATTTCCCAAACAGCAGCTGGTAATTGAACCAACATCATTTCTAAAACTAGACACATTTCAACTTTCTTTTGCTTATCCTCAGTTAGTATTTATTGTACAAAGATGCTACTAGGGTATAGCATTTAAGTGCGGGCTCGTAAGGAATAACAATTATTATTAAAAACTGAATCATTGGATAATGCAATTATTCTAGAGCTCTGATTGGCTTAGCCATCATGATATATGAGCCATTATACCATGCTCTCCAAATATGGTAGCTGTTGGTGTCTGCTCAAAAGTAAAAACAAGCTGAAAATCAGTTGTTTTTACAAATAAAGTGGGGAAGAATTCTCGATAGTTTGTGGGCGTTTTTAATATAACAATGTCGATTAAGCCAGCTCGGCACTAAGTGCCTCATTGGCTATCTACCATATCATATCCAACACACACTAATGGAATAATAAAAATTGTTAATTATATATGTTTTTCGTAATACCAAATTAGTCGAATCCCAGTCCCTGTTTTCCATTTTTCAAGCCCGATATGTCACCAAACTTGGGTGCACTTTGAACAAAATTAAGGTAAGAATCAAAGTTGGATCTGAACCTTAGATCTCCTTAACCACATACAGCTGTAGCTGCCATGCATCCTTGCATCCTTAGTTCATTCTGATAGCTGTGGCAAAACAATAACGTCACACATTGAGACTTGCAGCCACATCTTTGATTCTCAACATTGAAGCAAGGCACTTAAAAGGTCCAAGGAACAATTGCTTGCAATGCAATTTGCCATCATTAGTCTCTGTGAGATCTTGAAACAGAGATGCAACAAGATTTTGCTCTTCAAATTTCAAGGGATTTAAATATATTCCTTGCTCTGCTCATTGTGTTTTGCCAAGTGGACTGTTTATAAAATCATTAACTTTGTGATGCTGTATTTGTCCCTTGGTCACGTATAACTACCAACTGATTTTTAACTGACTTTGTCCTACAGCGTAACAGCTCAAAATCCTGCAAGGAGAAAAAAATAAATGGCATTGATTAGATTAATCACTTTCACTACTTCAAAAAGGAACGTACTATATGTCACCTAGCAAGCAAATATATATGTCATCTTCTAGAACTTATTGTTGTCTCAAGAAATACCTTGTGATTGGCTAATAATCCCTGAGTAAGATATGCATTCCTTTCATACAAAATCAAAATACTGCAGAAAAGCTCTGAGGAGACCAAGTACAGGCTGAAATATTTTCTCAAGTTTGGCAAGTTCATCAATATTATTGAAAGCTATCCATGTCACTAAAAGTTGCTAATAACTTGGAACCTTATGATGAGGTCTACAGTTGACTCTTTCTTAACAGACACTTCAAATTAAAGATGGACACCTCTGTAAAACAGACACCTTGAGTTGGTCCCTGGCTTTCTTTTACTCCCTTTATTTGACTCTCCATTAGGAACACATCAACAATACAAAAGAGTTTAACGTTTAAGGTTCCCTCACAAATAGAAAAAAAATCTAATCGAGGCGGGGGAAGGCGAAAAAAGGGAAAGAAATATTTAGCTATAATAAACAAAAAACAAAAACAAAAAAGGAAAATCAAAAAGCAAAAATGAGTATCTAAATAAATTAAATAAAATAATAAATTCTTAATAAAGTATCTACAGTACATAACACATTATACAAAATGTATAGTATTATTATTTTAATCAAAATGTCCATAAACAAATAAATAGTTTCATTAATAAGTATTTAGCAGTGGTATTGTGATTGGACAAAACAGTTTCATGAAGTTTCTATAACGAGGACATCACTCTGGACACTTTAATAGTGCTGGATCAAAAGATGTCCATCTTAAAGAGAGTTGACTGATGTAAACCTTTGTGGATCTCATAGTGGAGCTTAATTGCTCTGTGAGTATTCCGGAGGCCTCATGGTGAAGTTTGTAAATAAACAAATAAATAAATAAATAAACCTGTTCCTTTATTCTTTATACTTTCAACGTCACAAAACACAGAGGTTATGAGTTCTAGTTTTAAGCTTGTAGTAGATCTCTAAAAAAAATGTAATTTAGGGAGAGGTATCAGAGGAGCTTACATGTAATAAACTTCAAATACCTTTTCAGCACCATATGTTGATCCTTCATGTGGCTGACCAGTAGCGACTTGTGTCAGGTATCCAATTTGTTCACTCAGACCTTTCTCTACACCCTACAAAGATGCGAGTCTTTTTAAATTACAAGTCGTTATTCTCCAAAAAACAAAAAGAGCAAGCCATCAGAAATATACAACACCCTTAAAGTGGAACTCAACTTCATGCGATACTTGTAACAAGATCTTACTATGACAGTTTCTTATGCTGGTGTCACATATTCACAGGACTGTAGTACTGTTCTGGGATTGAAAGATATAAGATTGACAAAACAGCCAACCTTTTGCAACACCACCACTGGTTTAAATGACATCTCAGGATCAGACTTGGGCTGTCAACTCATCACATGGGTCTCACAATCTCATGATTTAGCCCCAAATCTCATGGTGAATTAGAAAATCTTTAAATTGCCAAACAATTCTGGTATGAATGTTGTGATTCACAACTGGGTCCAATTCCGAACCTCATTCCTGTGTAGTGTGAAACATAGGTTATCTACGGTGTGTGGGAAAGCCTTATAGCAAACTCAAACATCCTATCGATGTGGATAGTGAAACAGAATCTGAAACTGACTCTAAGAATTCAAGGCCTTAGCTTCCGAAGAAAAGAAAATCCACGGCTGGAACAGCCAATTAACCTATAACATTTAAAGGTGAGTGGAGTAAATCATATCTAATAGCTATAGGGTAAAGAATACTATGACAAAAATAATCTTCATTTTTTTGGTTTTATTTGACACATTATTTGGAGAGCTCCAGGTTTGAGGTCCCAATCTCGAGGTTTTGGGGCCTTCCTTTAAAACACTCCAGATTTGCATGGTCTAGGGGTTGGAAGGTCTGCAGGAATGAATGCAGAAATTCCATGCTGATAATGTGTCACTACCCAGATCTGGACAGTCCTTCTGATTGGTTGAAAATTTGCTTCAACCAATCAGAAGCTAGGGGTGTAACAATTCACATACCTTTTGATTCGATTCGATTTCGATTATGGTCTTTCAATTTTGAATATTTCGACTCGATTACCCAATCTGTTGTACCATTACTCACAAGGAAGCCGTAATGTTTCCAAATGATTGAAAACTTCCAGGGGGCATCAACCGCACTGCTTTGTTCGGCATGATGTTTGAGAATGTGACACTGACAAGGAGCAGACACATGGAAACACTCAAGGGGTGGTAGAAAGGCAAAATTTTAACCACACAACACAAAATGGTGTGCGAACTCCTTCACTCCTCAGTCAAAAACACCAATTAGAAAAGCATTTTATAACTGTTATTTTATATTAAAAAGAATAGCTCATTTGAGAAAAAAATTCACTAGAAATTTTGACACTAAGGGTTTTTGTAGTTGTATTTAAAGTTGTGAGGGCAACTTTTCTACTATAATCGAACCAAATTGAAATGTGGAAGCAAAGAACCGTGAACTGAACTGAATGGTCATAATTGCAATTAACCGAGATTTCGATTAATTGTTACACCCCTGTCAGAAGCACCACCCAGATCTGGGTAGTGAAACAGCATCAGTATGGACATTCTGGACTTGTTCCTCAGAAGTCATTTCAAAGGGGAACCAGTGGTGATGTTGTGATGTTTCCACTGTTTCTCCTCAGGCTAAAATACTATGAAAGTGAGATGAGATGGTCAGCATTAGAAAGTTACTGATTATCTACATCTACATCTAAAAACTTTAATCTATAAGGGTTTACTATAACATAGATATTTGTCTGCTAGAGTTCACAGCAGAATGCTGGACTTCAAACCATGTTATTGGTAGATGGCCACTGACCTTTCGGGGTTGGGAGGGGGGTAGAGAAAGGGGAAGACACTGTGGTAGGCTGCAATCGACCTAAAATGGCTAATTTTAATGTACTCTCAATTGACACTTAATAAGGTGGCACGATTACTAGGTGAAAAGAAAAAGAAGGTAAGTTGGTACAAACTTTCACCAATGTAATATGCTTAAAGAAGTTGTACAATGTACCTCTAATGATTTCAGAAACTTTGTGGCTGTTGTGTTGATCCGGTCCTCTGAAGGAGCCTCTTTAGAGAGCTCTTCTAAAGTTTCTCCTGCGCTTCTGATCACTTTTACGATATCCTTAAAATGAAGTAACATGAAGTAAGTAATGAATTAAATGTGCCATGTGTAGAAGACTCAAGCCTTTACATGAAAAAACGTTTCTCCAATGGGACTGATTCCACGAACCTTCTCGATCTCTTCTAACTGTCTGAGGCGATCAACAGACTGGGACATTGTAGTCTTAAAGTAAATAGCGATAAAAATGAAAGAAAACTCTGAATACAATTCTCGAAGCGCTGGAGCCAAAAATGAAATACATCGTACGTCATGTAACAACACACCGATTTTCATCACGTGACGTGGACGATCAACATGTCTGCCTCCTTTGGAAATACTTAACGAACTATCTTGCTTTTTGTTGACATTTTACGGTCCGCTAGCAAGCTGGACGGAGAAATGTTTCAGCGCCAGAAGAACTGGATATCTGATATTCTATGGAAACCCAAAAAGGCTCATTCCTTGGAGCAACTACGGTACGCTATACGTTTTAGGCATAGTCCTTCAATGAGCTGTACTAGTACAGTACTTGAAATCATTATTGTTAAAATTTTGCTTTTTAAACTTAAGAAGTTTTCACTTCGACTGAGTACATAAACACTGTGCTTTCTATATTTGGCAATACTTAATACTGTCTTCAGTTCTTTTTTAAGGAGAAAAGATAAGCTTAATGTTAGGGCCTCAATCAGCTGAACAGCTGACTGACGGCTGAATATTAGTTATATATTCCTTCTGCACTGTTCATTTTCAACATCTCTTCCCCTGTCGTTGATTTTCTTCTTGCATTTTTTGTGCGTTAGGTATCTTCATTATATTCTTACCAAGAACTCTACTGTTAACGAGACCAACAGAGGATTACTCGTGGAAACTTTACGTTCAATTGCAGAGATTCTCATTTGGGGAGACCAGAATGATAGCAGAGTATTTGAGTAAGACTCTCACAAACTTTTTAGTAGATTTTAAATATACTTTTGGGAGCAACTGCAGAATACCCTGCCACTTCAAAGCTGTATCCCTGAAAGAGCTGGTTACTTTGATATGCGCTTATCCCACTTATGCACTTTTCTACCTTCAGTGGCTTTAAGAACGACAAAGAGTGACGCTGTACGCTCAAAGTGGATACGCGGATACGCAGTGACTATTATTTAAAAGATATTTACTAAGTGGATATGTGGATACGCGGATATGTAGTGACAAAGTGGATCCTCAGATACGTAGTGAGTGAGTATCCGCGTATTCATGTATCCACCTATTTTTAGGGATTGCTTTAAAGTGGCAGGGTATTTAGCAGTTAAGCCTACTTTTGAGTGGTGGATCCAGGAGAGGGCCCCCGGTGCCCCCTTTTTTTAAACCAAACTGAGGTCCAAAGGACTGAAAAAAATTGTTTTTGAGACTGCCCCCCCCCCCCCCCCCCCCCCCC